AAAGATTAATACTGATACTTCGCAATCAGAAGATATAGCGGTTTTGGCTAATTATAGCAAAGCCGTCGAGAATAATCGTTCTGATGAATTCGCAATGAAATATCAGGCACAAAATAATAGAAAATATACCATATTGGAAGATAATCACAATTTGGATCTGTCCTCATCTAGTCTTTTCACAGACATGCCTTGTAACCCACAAAATGAAAATTATGTAATCTCCGAGACCGAGAGCGACATTTTTTCTGTAGGGCTTACAAAAGATTCATCTCCAGAATCCTTTCACTCTGAGGATATGGACGGCGATCCTCATCGACGGATAAAGATCAGTATGGATAGAGATTCAAATATAGATGCAAGGGAGGAAACTGATGTGGTTACATCTGCTTCTGCCTGCTCATCCAGCCACTTTCAGGTTTCAGATAAAATAAATATAGGTGAATTATCTAGTCAACTTCTAAATGATTCGACGAGTGAACACTATTTTATCTCCGCTGGGCATGCAGACAACAGTTTTGACAATAATTTCCAGTCAGAATATCAGGGCACTGTGGCAGGGATTGAGAATCTGTCAATAGCTGACCTATCTTACTCATTTCCAATAGGTAGAAGTGATCTCTACAACCCACAGGGGTCAGTGTACAGTTCAAATCTGTCAATGTCCGTCGGAGCACCTTCCACGTGGGATGAGGCATCCTGCCAGCTTGCATTCAAACATCAGAGTGAATCAGGCTATGATGATGCGGCCTCAATTAGGGAATCCGAGCAGTCACTTCAATCGCAGACAGAGGATTCCGAAGCTTTGGAATTAATCCTTTCGACTTCAGCCCATGATACTTTTGGTGGTGGCTCATTTGGAATAAGCGATTTTAGTAAAATTTTAGCTAATCAAATGTGCATAGGAAGCAGCGATGATTCCCGCACTCCACCCATAAAGCAAGGCATAAATAAAAGTGAGTCTATGTTTCTTATATGCTACGAGGAGGAAGGTCAAACACAAGCAAATCTTGATAAGAAAAATGGGAACAACAGCTCTGATTGCATAGCTAGCCTGAAAACTGACTTGCATATTGGCTTAAGAGATGCCGAAGATATATGCTTAAAGGCTGAAAGTGTATGCTGCCATTTAGATGACGGTACAAGTTTGACTGTTCAGAAGTCTGATAGCGCCATCAGAATGCCCTCTCCCAAGATCTATCCTAAACGAAATGCTCGTCCTGTAATCTCACAAACTACTTCGATTTACTCTGCCCCATCAGAATGGCCAAACTAGCAATCACTTTATATAAGATTCAGATCTAAACAACCATGTGTTCTAAAGCTGTTTCTTATCTACTTCAGAATTGTTTCCATTTGTCATTGTATCCGATCCACTCTGCGTTCGTACACAATTAACCTTGATGCTATCAATTGTCAAATCACATGATTTTAATTAGAGACAGCCTTTCGTCTTTCATGTATAAGGTAGATAGTTCAACAGGAGAAATCCCGTATTTCGGCTTCATTTATGAAACATTCATAAAAAGGCTAAAAAGGTAACAGATTTAACTGATTTCGATGCCTTGACACTATTTTACATTTCCCCTCTACCTAGATGCACTAATTGCTATTTTATTATATTGTTCACATCCAAACACAACGAATATTTTCTCAGATATCGAGCATCCTTTTTAATTTTATTTGTACGTTGGCCATCAATGCACAGTATTCAACTATTATCCTCACAACCCCCGGTTCATGATGACTATGACGTATTAAGGCAAGGAGATCTCTCACTTAACCAACACGAAGATTAAACGGAAAGCACAGTATTCTGCTAATTGTCTGCACTTAGTAGCATTTACATGATTTTCAATAAATCCCTTAATAACCATTTTTCTTGCATTTCTTACTAACCACGCAGTACGAGGCCAACGTAAGTTCATTTTATACATCAAATGTACTATTATTTAACTAATTATAAGGATGGATTTTATTACTAATCGTAATATAACCATAACTTTGAATCAAACTATGTAAAAACTGTACTGTAATTAAACTTTCGTGAAATTTAAAAACCAGGTAAAAGTAAGTTCTAATTTCTTAGTGACTTTAGAAGCTACAAATTGTAGAATATTCTGTACCAACCCCTAACTTAACCGTATGATTTAAACATAAGCTAATTTCATTAAAAGACGATAATTATTTAGCTAATTTAGCTATGAAAAATTTTTATTTCTGATCTGTTGTATTTACATAGTCCAACTTACCGAATTATTTTAAAATGTACCATGTGATATTTCATTGCGTTGTTTAGATAGAATGCTTTTCTGCTAAAAATATTTTAAATATTTATAGTCTTCAGGTGATTATTACGAAGAGAGCATGGGGATTCATTATTTTCCGAGTCTTACTGTATGACTTAATTGCAATCCTCTCAACCGTACAGCAACATCTAATTTGTGAAATATAGAATCTATGGGCCCTTTGAGAATCCAAAACCGTCATTCCTTATCGATATTTTGAGGCTGCCTTCGTATGCATTATCTGCTTCCCGTAATTAGAGGCGATTTGCTTCATGGATAAGAACTTGGATGCGTTAATTTTCATGGATGTGCTGAGTCAAATACTTATTAGACTAACGAGTTCCGAAATCGAAACTTTTTCCTTGTAACCATAGCAAGATAGCATGTTTATAATTAAATCAGCTTATTTTAGGTTTCCTATAAAAATTACTACATGACTAAGAATATCCCATAATTGAAAAGATGTCCAAAAAGGGAAGTGCAGTATTCTTCCATAGTAAGTTTAATGTAACATTACTACAGGTTAACAAAAATTATGAAGCCTCCTGAATTACTTCTTCCATAGTATTAAATTATTAATTAATTGTCCATATATCTAACGGATAAGTTAGGGCTAATCAACGTCGTCTTCTCAAATTTTGCATACTAATGATTCTTATAGTCGTATTTGAGTAGGGTTTCGAGACTGACCTGACTTTATAAATAAGGCAGTGCGCAATTTATACTATATAAATTGTAGATAAAAGAATAGTCTAGTAAAATTGAGGTATTTTCAGAAGTAATTACAAAACAAATATTTCTTTTATACAGAAGCACATTCGTATGAGGCATAAAAATGCGGGCGTGAAGGATAAAATGAAAAAGA